AACTCTGTTCATATATTTCCCCAATTAGCATATAATTCATAATTTTTTGGTTCTAATCACATTTCAATTAAACTTGGTACATAGAGTTTTTGTTACATTGCGCAGACCTCATTAGTTTTACAATCAAATCTGTTCATGTTAATTTTCTGATTTGCATAATTAGTTTTCAGCTAAGTAATTTCAAATTATATTTAAAGTGTCTCCAATACTCTCAGCACATGGGAGTTCTTTCTAAGCTTTCTTTGATATTCGTTATTTTTTCCATCTCTTGAAATCATGGAAGGGTGTGTCAGAGTTCAAGTTGATCAATTATTTCAGTTTTGTTTATACCACATTATCTGCATTCATCGAATAAATAAATATCAAGTTTCTCTGTCTGCTGTAAATTATCGTTATTTATAGAACCGTTAATTTATCAAATGAATTCTTTATAGCGTGTTTCTTGGATTCCATGGCAACCCTTGGTTTAGCTGCTTATGGTTACGGAATCCGGTATGAGTACGGCATTTTTAACCAGAAACTTAAGGACGGACAACAGGTAAATTGAAACAAAATAAATCTTACTATTGAGAACTTTTTACCACTTTAAGTATTAGTAGTTACAGCCTGTGGAACTTGATGTTATGTTCTTACTTCTTTTTTCACTGTCTATAGGTTGAAGAACCCGATGATTGGTTGAGATTTGGCAATGCTTGGGAAAAGGCCCGCCCCGAATACATGATACCAATTAATTTCTTTGGTGAAGCTCAGAAAACGGATGCCAACAAGGGCAAGTGGATCAACACTCAGGTAAGTACTCAATTCATTCCTAAAAACGGGGGTGTAAATGTGGTAATTGTGAACTGAAAAAGTAATGGCAATCATTCCCCAAATTTAAACTAATTCATGTCATTATTTTTCGTAAAATTTGAAAAAAAATCTCTAATGAGAGAGAGAATTGTCTGCGGTATTTTGAAGGGGGCCCAGTTCCTGCATGTATTACATGGGCTATATAACAACTATTTGAATAATATTTGAATAATTAAAACATTCATAGAAATAATTAACTATATTGCTTTTATAGGTTGTTTTTGCCATGCCGTATGACACCCCGGTACCTGGCTATGGTAATAACTGTGTTAATACAATGAGATTGTGGTCAGCTAAGGCACCCAATAATTTCAATCTCAAGTTCTGTAAGTAATCTTTCTTATCAGCAGTTTGTATTCCAAATTTGAATGCATGCATTTGCTCACCATACAGTTCACAGAGTGCCTTCACATAAAATGCAATTACTGTTATGGCAGTTTCTGCAACTGAACCATGAAATTTAATAACTTCTTCTGTATATTAAAAGTCTGTATGTGCGATTAATGCATGCACGTGTGATTAATGCATGCACGGTTTGAAAACTCTGCTAGCCTGAGATGCGAGACTCGCACTTTACAGCAAATGTAATTGCAGTACTTCAAATTCTTGATATTTTTCTGAGTGAAAGGTTCCATCAAATAAACAACAAAACATCCGTCATACTTGAAGTTATTTCCATGGAAACAGTGACTTTGCGATTTCCCCAGTGCATTAAATTCTACTTTGTTAGTCATTTGGGATTGGAAAATGAGCAAAATAAAATATGATTGAGGTTCATTATCTGAAAAACTTGAATTTAATTTATTGGAATCTAAGACATCCAATCGCAATGAATTATCAGTGTTCCAGGAAATTCTTGTTTTAAAAGTATGTTAGCCATTCTAATATGAGATGTATATCTGTAAGGCTGAACATAAAATATGAATTGTTGATTGTGAATATCAAAAATACTGCAGTATGACTTGATTCCAATGATAATCAGATCTATGGCCAGTATGATTTGGATTACTAGTTTGGTTAAGAGTCCTCGATCAGTGAAATATTTCAGAATTTTCAACTCCTGAAATAAATAATAAAATTAAAGAACAGGGGGTGGAATTAACCAAAGCTCAGCTATTGTACATTTTAACATGTTTTCTAACATACATCACATGTCTCATACCCTTTTTAGTGTCTTATAGACTCACCCCCCCTCTCTTGGTAGGTTGTCAGCAGATACCTCCAAGTTATTGTCATCTAATTCCAAACTTATCCTTGCAGACATATATTAGCATTATAGTTTATTTGCAGCTGTTTGGACGGGTTGGATTAGTGCCAGTGTCAGCAGTCAAAACACAGCTGTCTCTCATCCCAAATATGCCAAACATGTATACTGTAAAATGACTAATTTTCACTGGGTTTCAATTTTGATGGTTTGCCATTTCAAGCATATTCTGTGGGTTTTAAATTCATGGTTTTGTCACTTAGATAATGTGTTCTATGCTAAATTTTACATATTCACTGGGTTTTAATTTAGCGATTTTTTCAGTCAGCGAAATAAGCAAAATTAAAACCGAGAATAATTATCCCCTTTACAGTACTATGAAAACATGGAATGTGAATACAGAGAAAACATAGTCGTCACCAATCAGATTTAGATAATTACTCTGAAAACCTATTACGTGATTTCTTGTATCCCAGGTTGTAAACTTATCCTGTCTTTATACTGATCATCTACTTATATTTGTATAATGTACTGTGTCTTGCTATAGAAACTGTCTTGTTTGTGGGAGCATTAATATAGAGCTGAAGATGTCCTTGTACATGTATGTGTTATGTTATGGTGGCCTTGTGTTATATAAATTCCTGTTGTGTCTTTATTTACAAGGTTTGATTAAACCATAGACTTTAGAAAACACAAATGATTCAGTAATTTTGGGCCAGTGTTTGAATACTGGGATTTGATGGTCATTACTGTATGTACTGGGGAAGGTCTGGCATATTACTGTACTGGCCTTCTGACCTTCTCCACATTACATTGGTGGCATATTACTGTACTTGGGCTGACCTTCCTCACATTACATTGGTGGCATATTACTGTACTTGGGTCTGACCTTCCTTACATTACATTGGTGGCATATTACTGTATTGGGTCTGACCTTCCCCACATTACATTGGTGGCATATTACTGTACTGTGGCTGACCTTCTCCACATTACATTGGTGGCATATTACTGTACTGGGGCTGACCTTCCCCACATTACATTGGTGGCATATTACTGTACTGGGGCTGACCTTCCCCACATTACATTGGTGGCATATTACTGTACTGGGGCTGACCTTCCCCACATTACATTGGTGGCATATTACTGTACTGGGGCTGACCTTCCTCACATTACATTGGTGGCATATTACTGTACTGGGGCTGACCTTCCACACGTTACATTGGTGGCATATTACTGTACTGGGGCTGACCTTCCTCACATTACATTGGTGGCATATTACTGTACTGGGGCTGACCTTCCCCACATTACATTGGTGGCATATTACTGTACTGGGT